ATTGAAATTGTTTATCCCAAAAAGCTTTTATCTAAAACGTTATTATGAGTAAAATATTAGGTCTACACAATGGTAGATTATAAGGTAATTAGGTAATCACAATGAATGAATGAGATCACAAATTGAAGAGAAAGCTTATTTTAACAAATTACATTTTTTAGCGATTAAAAAAATTATGTTAAATATTGTAAAAATAGGTTTACAAAAGTATTGTGATTTTAAGCTTATAAATACTTAAAACAACTCAGACGCATCAACATACAGGAAATTATTTTTTTTCTCGATTTTACTATTTCAAAAACTGAATTCATTAATTCAAATTTATAAAAGTGGCAATATCATCTCCGGTTACAATCAACAAAAATTGATGGTTTTTAATTTTGGGTACTTTCAATAGATTATAAAAATTCAGTTAGTTAATTTGCGAATTTTTTATTTAAACGAGTACTGAATTTGTTTAAACAATTTAAAATAAATTTTTATTTTACAAAATTTTACTTTTCTATTTGTGTCAGTGGTAGCTATATTTACCACTATTGTTAAATGCTATTTTTCGAACCTATACCAATTATCACTTACTGACTTAAGCCAAAACTGGATGTTTCGTCCTTCAAAAAATCGGAATTCAAGAAGTGGTCTAAAAAGACAAATTCAAAATCGAAGGCTAAGTTCAGGTTTCAGTTCTAGTAAGAAACAGACTGGGATCAACCTCATATGCCAAAAATGTGATGTAGAATTATGCAAAGAATGTTTTTCTATATATCATCATTAATAAAATGAAGTTGTGCTGAATGAAAGAAATAAATGTTATCTCTTTTACAACTTTTGTTTTAGTGTGTACATGTAGCGGTAACAATCTTTACCAATGATTATAAATACTCAAATGCCCACAGGTAGCAATATTTACCTCACCACAAAAGAACAAATCTAAGATAATTACCGTATATAAATAGACATTCCAGTAAAAATCTTTGCTAGTGATGGTAAATACTCAATGCCCACAAAAAATGAGTTCTGCCCTTAAAATGATAAACTACGACGCCTGGATCCATGACTATTTGCTTACAATTCGAGTGCTCCCTACACTATGATGGTACGTCGATCATTTCTGAGATAGATTGAAATTTTCGAAACATCTTTGGCCGGTTTCTTTAAATCATAAATATTTCGGAGTTCCTTATAAGCAGTTCCTTATTGCGTTAATACGTTTTGCTATATTCAACATGACTTCCAGTTACCTTTGTTGATCTTTTTTCCTTCTCCTCATCATTTCTTAGCTAGTAATACTCAAATTATTACACATGTAAATTGGGTTCACATCACTTTCCATGAGAAAAACCAGTCAAAATAATCGTAACGAGTTTGAAATGATCTGAAAATATACAAATACGGTTAACTTACCTGGATAGTAATCATGTGATTTCGACATCTTAACTCTAGCTCCAGTTTCTTTCTGCAGTTGTGCAATGGTTTCACCTCCCTTTCCAATAATGGCTCCAGCTGCAACACTGGGAACCAAAACTTTGAAGTGGAAGGTACCATCTCCTCCTGAAACAATACACCAATTATTAATTTAATGAAAAAACCGACATATTTGATATAAATTTATGAAAATTAACGAACTTGCAGGAAGTATGTATTTTTGAAGTACCATTCTGTGTAAGGTTCTTCTGTGTCCTACAAGAATTGTGTTTATACATAAAGTAATGAAAGAATAAAGTTATAGTAACAATCCAAAAGAGAAATTGAGAAAGCACTTGACAATTGAAACAATTGAAATGGTGAGTTAAAGAAGGCTTTTTAGATTATACAAAATTTACGAGAAAACTCATTTTACAATTTAAGTATCTAAAAATTGTCTTCGATAATAAAACATTTTTTATGTGTGTAGTAGAGTGAAAGCCATAATTTGTTCGGTGTAAAAGTACGAAAAATTCAATTTTACTCTAAGAACTCTGGACATTTGTTGATACCATTAATTAGCTCAAAATAAAGCAGAGATTAACATTAATCATCATTGTCTAAGGTTGTTAAGATATAGAAATGTTAAATGTAGGTTTAAATGTAGTAAATTATATATTTGTATATCTAAGAAATTATCCCGAATTCTCTTTTTTTGTGAACAGTCCACGCAAAAGTATAGAGTACAGAATTTTAGAATTTTTCTTTTGTATTTTCAAATATGTCGCTGGAGTGAAAAAGAATTAGGAAAAAAATACTTGTTCAATGCGAGACTGGTTTTTATTTGTGTTGTCAATAAAACTAAATTACATTTTTATTGGTGCATCAATTGTTTTGGGCAAAACTGTGCATTCTAGTCTTACCACCGACGAAATACTGCTGAATTTAGTGTTTCTTGAAGGTGTGTGAGTAACGCTGGAATATTATTTAATATAACGGTAAACCAATGGAGAAAACTAACGACTATTAGGTATAATACATATGAATATTATTTCTATGTCACGTATTATATTTTCAAATTCTTCGTTTTATGAACATTTAATTTTTATTAACAGAACTTTGGTAGACCGAAACTGAGATGTTACTGTAAAGTGTAGGTGGATTACTATTGTTACGTAAAAATGAGTCATATTAAAAAAAACCTGTAAACATGTTGTTTATTCACTAATATGTTCTAGATTTTACGACCCCTTCGACTACCTGCAGAAATTCCAAGTACTAAAAAGAAGCGGTCCATTCGAACGATCCGGAAATACGTTGAATGAAAAAACCAGCCGTAGTCTTCCAGTATTTTCGACAAGGGTCGACATCCTTCTAGTCTAACAACGGTATTGGTATATAACAGGACCTTTTTGGAGAAAACATTCACTCAGAAAAGAAGATCGCGATCGCGTTTTAAAATGTAACGCACGTATAGATAAATTATGTAATTATTAGTCAAATAAATTGTTGTACAGTGGTTTAATAAATTGATATAAATTATCGTGTTTTAGTAAATTAAAATAAGAACAATAAATTAGAATTAATAAAGACATAACACTAATATTAGGTTTTCTTATAAAAGATTTTTAGTTACTATATAAAAATTCCATAAATATCAATATAGTGTGACCTAGATTCGTTAGGAACTCCAAACGCAAAGAAATCCATCATTAGCATAATAACCTCAATGTTATACCAGAAATAATTCAGTACTATGTTGAACATAACATTCAAGGTTCATTTTTTTGATAATGCTATAATTTTTTTCGTGCGAAGTTTAGTCAACCTTCAAATGTTATTGTCGTGACATAAGACCGGCTTCGAGGCAATTAAAAATATTTTTTAGTTGTTTATATATTTACAATAACCACAAGTTTCACAAAAGTGATACATTCTAAACAGATTAATCATACGATTATAAAATAGTTAATAAAAAACCCATGGTTTTTAACATTAACACGGATTTGTTGACATGCAGGATATAAAGTGCAAGGATTTAGTTATTGGATCTAAATATTTGCTAACGGATAATGCATCGCGTACATTAGTATGTAATTTAGACACATAGAGATCCTTTCGTGGTAGTGTTATCATCTTGTGTTACTACTGTTGCGTAACAACAACATTTAGTATTTTTATTCAATTTTGTATCATATCATCATATCACACTCTATATTAGTTTTAAGGTTTAGATTTGTAAAATTCTTTTGTACCATCTAATAATCTGTACGGGCGGCGATTTATAGTTATAAGCTTCTAAAGTCGTCAAAGAATCATAAAAATGAAACGATCATTAGTAATTTCCAAATTATCGATTTTAGTCATTGGAAAAATCCCAACAGAAAGGCAGGTTGAAAAGTAATCTTCTCAGGTAGTTTTACCAATGAAAGGAGAGTTGAAGGAAATGTAAATGTAAACATATCCTTTAATATACGTCGAGAGTCAGGGGAACGATTTCTTAATTTTAAGAAACCGTTATGAGCTCTCTGTGATTCAAGGGAAAGAGTTGACATTGGACCTAGCATTGGATGAGCTCGAAGCTCTTGCTCGCGCTAGCCGCACTTCAGAAGGTTCCGAACACAGTCGGAATATTAATAATTTTACTTAGTTCGTGTCGATATTGCATTACAGACAAGTTATCTAGTTTTTTTTGCACATAAATTCAAGTCGATTAAATTTCGTAAATCAGCTGTCGTAAGCAAGTTATCGGCTCCAAAATACGTTTTGGTATTTGTTTAAATATACTTGTTAAAACGTTCTTTGCGAAAATTTCATTTGTGCCAGTTTTCTGGGTGGTTCTTCAAAACAGTATAGAAAAGAGAACCTGCTTTCCCTAAGGACAACACTTGTTCCCCAAAGGAAAAACCAGCAACCTATGCCTGTTGCGCGAAACAAAGGCATCAGAACAAGGTGTAAGGAATCTATAAGGACAAACACACCTGCATCTTCGCACAACTACTACGAAGTAATTGAGCATTTTTTTAGATTCTTTTTAGTTTTCTGTCCTGTAAATACGTTGTCTACGTTTGTATTCCATATGATGACACTCGGCAGTCTATTGGGACACTCAGCACAAAGCAATTGGAATATTGTTGACTTCATCGCGAATCCGTAGTTTCAGCTGAACGATGGTAGTAGGGGGTCAACGTACACGTGGCTTTTCAAGCACACCACAAAGCTAGAACCGTGAGGTCAGGCGATCGAGAACGCCATTTAATGTCGCCATGTAAGGAGATCCGGCAACGGGTATTTCGTCCGGCCACAGGTCTGGACGCAATACCCGTTGAACTTATTAAGGTGATCTGTGAAGTGAGCACGAAGGAGTTAAGGAACTGTTTAACGCTATATACGATTCAGGTAATATCCCAGACGAATGGCTATTGTCAACATCTGCGAAAACGTGCGAAGATTTCCGAACCATCAGCCTTATGAGTCATGCACTTAAGATTTTTTTTTAAATCATACATGCCAGAATTTGCAAGAAATGCGAAGAAAATGTCGGTGAAATTACAATTTGGATTCCGCAATTCCATGGGTACACGTGAAGCACTTTTCACCTTAAAGTCCTACTTCAGAGATGCCGCGATAGTCAGTTGTGATGTCTATATTTGTTTTATTGACTACGCCAAGGCATTTGACCGTTGTCAGCACCAGAAGATGGTCGTCGACCTACAAACAGTAAAATTGGATGAGAAGGACATTCGGATACTGAAACCAGCGTGCTCAAGCCATGGTCGAAGACCAGTTGACCGACCAAGTGAAGATCATGCGAGGAGTAAGGCAAGGCTGTGTGCTCTCGCAGACTCTTTTCAATATATACTCTGAGGAAACTTTTTACCGATGCCCTCACAAACCTAGAGATGGAATCCGAGATGGAGTGAACGGTGAATACATCAATAAAATCCGCTACGTCGATGACACTGTGTTACTAGTAACCAGCCTAAATGATCTACAAGCCTCACTAGACTGAGTGAGAACTATGAGCGCAACATATGGACTAGACAATATTAAGAAAACTAAATTGAGTCACGGCAAGACAATATCCAGAGGAATTGACAGATTCACTTACCTCAGAACCACCCTCAACTCTCAATGGGACTACGCTCAAGAGATTAGATCCTGAATTGAACTGGCGCGGTCTACATTTATCAAGTTGAGTCCTTGCTGTGCTGCAGTGATCTCAGTTTGGGAACCAAGATGCGGATAGTGAGGTGCTACATTCTTCCAGTGTTACTATATGGAGTTGAAGCCTGACACTGACGCAAGCTACTGAAAAGCGGATTGAAGCCTTCCAGATGTGGATCTACAGGAGGATACTAAAAATATCGTATGTGGACCATGTCACCAACGTTGAGGTCCTATAGCGCATGACAAAAGAAAAAGAAGTGCTTAATTTAGTGAAACAACCTAGCTGAAAACAACCAGAACGCCGTCATATCTCGTGGTTGAAAAACCACCGACAACGGTTTGGAATGACCTCCGCTGAGCTGTTTCGCAGAGCAGTCAACAAAACCATGATAGCCTTGAGGATCGCTAACATCCGGACCAGATAAGGCACTGAAGAAGATGTAATGAGATGAGACGCCCTGGGAATAATTTATTTATAGCATTTACCGACTAGTATGCCGTATGTGTGCTGTCGCACCATATTGGTGGAACCAACAGTCATAATATGAAAAGTATTGAACCATTCCACAATAATGTGCACCGTTAACTGTTAGCACGACCGCGAGCATCTTCAAAAAAATTGGGAACATTAGCCCATTTGCTGGCATCGCACTACAACTGTCACTTTTTTGGTATGAAGCTATTTTGCATAATTTTCGTGTGGGTTATTAGGTTAGGTTAGGTTCTGTCATTGGTTCTTACAACATCTACTACTCATTTCTCTATCAGCAATTATACCAACTCCATTCCTATTGTTACTTTGCCCTTCATATCACAATTTGTATTTTTCACTTACGCATGATTTATACAAAATACTCTTACAATTTAATGTTATAACAATCGGGAATATTTTCCTTTATATACAAAATACAAAAGTGGGGAATACAAAATATAATGGGTCTCTTAGAAAAATGATGAGGTACGGTACGGTAATATTC